ACTGACAGCATAGACCCTGCTTAGAATTCTCTCTTTCCACCCCTCCCTCTTGCACTCTCTCTCAAAATAAATAAACAAACATTTAAAGAGGAGGAAATAAATGGAAAAACACCCCATGTTTATGGAACAGCAGATTTAATGTTGTAAAGATGACAATATTCTCCAAATAGATCAACATACTCAGTGCAATCCCTATCGCAGACTTTTAAATTATTTTTGTAGAAATTGACAAGCTGATCTTAAAATTCCAATGGAAATTTGCGAAGCTCACAGTAGCTAAAACAATCTTACAAAAAGAACAAAGTTGGAGAATCAAAATTCTCAATGTCAAAACATACTACAGAGCTACAGTAATCAAGAGAGTGGGGTAACAAGGTGGTAATATATGCCTCTCTAAAATAATTTCCATTGCAAATCAAGATGATAAAAGCTGCTACTTTCTAGAAAATGCTTTTTTTTTTTTCCTTTGCTGTCTTCTTCCTGTATGCCATCTCTGTGTTATACCTCAGCAAGGATGACATATGTCAACTCTGCAGACCAGATTTGTCAGAAAGTAACCGGTCCTAGGAACTGATCCTGCTTGTGCAGAGAGGTAGTGGAGTGAAACTTTGCACAAACCATGCTTCAGTTCACCTCAGCAAATATCCACTGAGGGTTGAGGTTGATAAGGTCTGGGATATTTATGCGGAGGGCTGAGAGGGAAAGTCACCAGAAAATAAGTCCTTGTCATATGTCCTTGGACGTTTAGAGAACATCAGGCTTAGTGTCACACCCACTTGAGACAACTATCTTTCAGGTCTGGTTTGAGTGGGCAGGAGAGAGAGCAATGGTTGCGTTGGGAGCAAGCTACACACCCACCAATGACAGGTAATCCTGGGGGATCAGATAAAATTGTAAAACGGGACTCCTCCAAAAGGCCTACCTGGACTCAATAGTGAGGTGGACAACCAAAGTCCAGGAGACTGAGTGGGGAGCCAGAAGCAGCCAGGTAATGCAGAGGCATGGATGATTAAGTGAATCTCTAGTGAAAGATCCTGTGGGGAATCTGTGAGGGCAATGCATGACTACCAATGAGAGCAAGAGCCAAGTCTGGACGTCTGCCATGCCCAGATGCCACCAAATCCTGATGCAACTGTCTGTATAAGAAAGACCTTTCTTGTCCCCTTACTTCTCTTTCCTGCCCAAGGATAGGTATATATATCAATGGAAAGGAACGTACAGTCCAGAAATAAATTCTTACATTTATGGCTAATTGAGTTTTGACAAGGGAGCTAACACAGTTTAATAGAGAAATAAATTGCTTTCAACAAATGGGGCTGCGACAATTCAATCAGAAATATAAAAAGAGGTTGGATTCCCTACCTCACACCATATCCAAAAATTAACTAAAAATGGATCATAGACACAAATGTAAAAGCAACAATTGTTAAAATTTTAGAAAAAGACAGGAATAAATCTTCATGACAAGGTAATAGGCATGTTTTAGAAATGGCACCAAAAGCACAATCAACAAAAGTAAAAATAGGTAAATTGCACTTCACCACAAAGTCCAATTCACCATTTTGTGTGATGAATGTTAAGTTAATTCATCATTTTTTTTCTTCAAATGATACCATCTAGAAAGTGAAAAGACAACTCACAGAATAGGAGTAAATATTTGCTAATCATTTATCTGAGAATACACTTGTACACAGAATATATAAAGAACTTAAAACTCAACAAAAAAAACCCAAATAATTCAATTATAAAGTTGAAAGGATCTAATTAGATATTTCACTAAAGAAAATATACAAATGGCCAATAAGCACATGAAAAGATGCTCAGCATCATTTATGATTAGGGAGATACAAATCAAAACCACAATGGGATGTCACTCCACACTTCTAGAATGGCTAAAATTAGAATGACAGACAACACTGCTGGCAAGGATGCGGAGAAATTGGAACTCTTACACATTTGTGGTGGAAATGTAAAATGGTGCTGCCTTTTAGAAAGCATTTTGAAAGTTCCTCAAAAATAGAGTTACCATGTAACTCAGATGTTTACCACCATTAATTAATTAATTAATTAATTAATTACAAATTAAACTATTCTTGGTTACCAATATATCTCCATTCATCTGGCTAAACTATAAAAATAACTTACGTAAACTTAATAAAAAAAAAAGAAAAAGAAAAAGGTAGAATCAGGGAGGCTTACACAAGGGATTTCAAGAGTAACAATAATGTTCTCTTTCTTAAATGTGTACTCTTGTATTGTTATTCTTTAAACTGTACATAAAGTATACTATAAATATTCTTTCATATGGATTAAATATTCAATAAAGAATGACATACTGAGTATTGGCAAGAACATGAAGCAAATATTACTTTCATATATTGCTTATGGACAAAAGTTGGTACAACCACTTTGCAATACTCTTTGGTATATACTAATACCAAACATATGTAAAGCCTATAACCTAGCAATTCCACTTTCTGGTATGTATATACTCAAGAGATTTAGTGCCTATTTCAACCAAAAGATAGGTATAAGAGTGTTCATAGCAGCATTAGTCTAAAAAAGCATCAAAATAGATATAGCACAATGTCCATCAATAGCAAATCTGATAAATAATTTGTGTTCTGCTAATACAAAGGAATACTATGCAAAACTTAACCTGTGCTGATAGAGGTCAAAATCCTGGTCACTTTGTGGGAGAGTGTTACTTGAGCCTCCTGGGGTACTGGAAGTTGTTTAGGGTGCACGCGTGTGTGTGTGTGTGTGTGTGTGTGTGTCTAATTTTTCTGAACTGTGCATGTATTTGTATGTTCTACTGTGCGCATTTTATAACATAGTAATAAAAAAGTGAGAATAGATTTATGTGTCTGTTTTATTTTGGAAACATAAACACAGGATGTATATCTTAAAAAACTTATGAAAATCTTACTTCTGAAGTAACAACAAGGTTAAACAGATAGGAGAGGAGATGGAACCCACTGAGTATATCTTTTCATGTAGTTTTAACTTTTGAATCACATTAATGTTTTTATATTAAAAAATTACATCAATCAGAGTAGAAACATAACTTTTAGGGGACAGTGGCAGAAACAGAGATTCTACCAATGAGAGCATTGCCCTCACAGATTCCCCACAGGATCTTTCACTAGTAATTTCATCTTCTATTTTACAATTTCCAGTCTTCCTGGGAGTTAGGTTGGGGTCATATGAGTAGTACTGGCCAAAAAGCTTTAAGAATGGATGAAAGCTTTCAGCCTTTGGGCTGAACCAGAAGAGCTGATTTTATTCCTCCATGTGTTCTCTCACCTTGTTTCTGCGACTGTGAAGGGTACATGATGAGACCTTGGAGCCACAGGATGGAATTCTTCCCAGATCTCTAAATCACCACATGAACCCAGAAGAGTTGCTCAACTTCTATTAAAGTTTTTGAGAGTGAGAAGTAAACTTTTTTGTGTGTGTGAAAGTTTTTATTTTAATTCCAGTTAACATACAGTGTGATATTATTTTCAGGTGCACAATATAGTGATTCAACAGTTTCCTACATCACCCTGTATAAGAAGTAAACCTCTTTAAAGTTATTTATTTATTTATTTATTTATTTATTTATTTATTGAGAGAGTGTGAGCAGGGGAGGGGTAGAGAGAGAGGGAGAGAGAGAGAATCTCAAGCAGGCTCTGCACTGTCAGCATTAGAGCTCAACATGGGGCTTGAACTCATGAACTGCGAGATCATGACCTGAGCTGAAATGAAGAGTTGGATACTTAACTGACTGAGCCAGCCAGG